GGAGAAGAATCCATCCTCCTCCACAAAAATTCCTAGAATGGGAGGGAAGGATCTAGGTAAAAAGCTCCTGGTCTCAAGCATGTGCTTCCCAGACAAAAGTCAGTCAGCAACTGGTGTTCTGTTGTCAGCACCTCTGTATTTATAGTGGTTTGCAGGGATGTGACTTGTGATATCGTAAGGAGACGGTGATGAGACCCAACAAGTGTTCCATGACAGCCAAAACAGGGCTGAGTTGGGTAGGAGAGGCCATGGCCTGAGAGTTCAAGAGTTAACGCTCCAGTTCCAGAGGGCTATAAGGACTGTGAAGGGTCTTGAGGGCAAGACAGTGGAGGAATGTCTGAGAGCTCTAAGTTTGTTGCTCCCAGAGCAAAGTAGGCTGTGATGAGCCCTCAAGGCAGCTGCAGCTCCTCACAGGGAGCAGAAAGCAGCGCTGAGCTCTGCTCTCTGGTAGCAGCTACAGGACCCTAGGGAACAGAGATGTATCAGGGGAGGGTCATGGAAAGGTTCTGCACTAAAGGGCAGTGGGCATAGCCCCAAGCTGCTGCAGCTGAACAACCATTTGCATTTGAGTGGTCCCTTGTGGAGTCAGAGGTTGGACTTGATCATCCTTGTGAGTTCCTCCCACCTCGGGATATTCTATGATTCTACAGTTTCAATATTTGTCTTGTTATGTAATTAATATTCTGTGCCGAGGTTGGTATTTTGGCTGCACCCTACAAAATGCCTCACACAACCTGAGAACTCAAAATACATCTTTTCAGGTGCTTTTTCAAATTCCTATTTATCTTGAAGACAATGTAAAACACTTCAATTTTGAGAGCCTTTACTGTAAATGTATTGTACCAGTCCAATCATTTGCAGATAGCTTTGGAAGCACTATGGCAAGCACACTGGCCACCAACATAGCCACATAACTATTTATATGCTATGATACTTGGAAACCCTTCTCACAAAACAGAAGTCCACACTGCAGGGCACCATAGAGAGGAAGGCTATTTTTATCCTTAAAAGCTTACATTCACTATAAGGCAGAAAAAGTAAAGGAATACTGACATATGGACAAAGATATAAGGAAACTAAGACAATATCTTCACAACAACAGACTATGCTTTTGAACACCAGCAGTTCATCTCAGCTTCATGTGATTATCACCTTGACTAACCAGCTCCACACAATAAGAAGGGAACATTTATGCTCTGAATCAACAACACCCAACAGTGGCAACAGACCTTCAGGAGGTAAAAGACTACTGTCTTCAAACCAATGACTCAAGCAAGTCACAAAAGATCAATGTGAGATTGTCAGCAGTAACTTATGTTTCCTTCTGTTACTTTGGAAGGCCATACTCATACTCTTTCTGCTGAAAATGAATCTTTCATTTGACATGAATGAAAATAGCAATTCTTACAAGAAGAAGGGAATAAATAGTCTCATTCATTCATCTTCACCACCATCTTGATCACTTATTTATAGACGTTTAAAAGGAAAAACTTCCAGAATGGCTATAAATCAAATACTACTCCTAGAAATTACTTTATCTACAATCCTGTCCACGCTAGGCAAACATATTTAATGCAAATAGTATACATCAATACCTTCTGTTTGTGCTGGTGCACTATTAAAATAGTTTCCTAGAGGCCTGCACCTTGTAAGAACCCGTGTTAGAAAATCCTCATGAAAACAATTAAATTTCAAATTTTCATATATCTCAATGCCAGTGAAGTTATATTTTCTTTTTTATCACTATATAACACAAAAGAGACCAGCAAAAAGACAAGTGACTGATGCAAAGGAAAAAAAAGAAAAAGTAGAGTGAAAATAAGGAAAAACATACTTGGGGATGCCTGAAGACATTCGTTTTGAAAAGGTATGGCTTGGTTCTTTCACTGTTTTTGAAACTCAAGAGAAGAAAGAAAGAAGGAAAGAGAGAAGGACCTGGGGGTCCTGATGGATGAAAAACATAACATGAGCCAGTAGGGTGCTCTCACAGCTTGGAAAGCAAATGGTATCCTGGGCTCCATCAGAAGAGGGGTGGCCAGCAGGGACAGGAGGTGATTGTTCCCCTCTATTCTGCTCTTGTGAGGCGCCATCTGGAGTACTGTGTCCAGGCCTGGAGCCCCCAGTACAAGAAAGACAGGGAGCTGTTGGAGAGTCAATACAGTAGACTTAAAGGGGGAAATTACTTGCATGTGGATTTACTGCAACAGACTTTTCATTGAGGAAAAAAAGGAGATCAGTAAAAACTAATTTGTACAATGTGTTTTCAAGAAAGGACTTTGTAGAAATAGGTTCTAGAAGTAATAAGAGGAGACTCAAAGATGAGCAAAACTGTTATTGCTTATAACCCTGACAGATTCCACAGAGATGTCAATCAAATATTCAGTGGGAGGGCACTAACACCTTGCTCTCAGCTGTGACTCACTCTGGAAGTAACATTTATGCTCTTAGCAACCTCATTCACTAGAAAGTTGTCTTTCTAACTGGATTTTCTATATACTGACAATTCATTGTCTTGGGACACCAGAAGAAATAAAGGCCCCCCCTTGTTATTTTATTTAATAACGGGGAACATAACTGCACTAAAAATGAGTAAAGGAAACCTTTGCGTACACAGGAGAGAAGGTAGAAAAAACAAGAATTTATGTTTCCTGTTCTCAAAAACAATTTTAAAAGAAACAAACAGCCATTTCAACACCAACTGTAACACGCAAAGAAAAGCGGTCTCAATTGTAGTTCAAAATTTCACCAATGATGCTTACTCTAACAAAACTTGGTTAACACACCACATCTTTCAACACGCTTACTTTCAAAACTTTAATCTTCATAAAGTGCTGTAAATGCATGATTTACTATAGTTTATACACCCTGTAAATGCTTCTGCTCAAGATGATGCTCACTCTTATATCTGACATTAATGGTTCACCACTAGTACAGGAATCTCTACAAGACACATGGATCTGAAGAAAAATCCCCCTCCACTAACATGCTGCTTTACAATCATAAATATTTGAATCCTTAAAAAGCCTTCAGAGACCAAAGTTACTTCCCACAGTTTAGAATCAAGAATAGATCCTTTCGCGAGTTCTGGCCAAAAAGGTTTTACATGTTGTATAATCAAAGAATATACAGGTGTTATAGCTAAGAAACATACCAGAGAGTTCGGCTAAACAGATTACTACACCAAAAAATGATAGAAGACTTACCCTTATCCAGGGCTTGCTAGAAAACTCCAAAAGCAGGGATCTCCAGAAAGAGATCCTTCCCCAGTGGCAGCCAGCTCTTAAATGGGGTTTAGGAGAGGTGCAGCCAGGCTCCACCCCTTCCAGCAGCACAGCTGAATTGCCTTCACCTGTGCTCCTGTGGCTGACTCATTGCTCCATCAGGTGATCAATCAGAGGTTCAGGCCATGATTCAGCAGTTCCCATATATGTATCAATGACCAAAGTTTAATAAACAGTCCCCCACATCAGCCCGAATTCTTAATTAAGTAGAAACTTACACAACTGAAAAAAACCCTTTACATACAGTCTCACAATTTATATATTCACCTCCTGTGCGCAAATGTCATGATAGTTCTGAAATGCGAATGAAACCTGAACTTTAAGTTCGGCATGTAATTCATCATTTGGGTATTTTCAACAAAAAAAGTGTGCTACAATAATTACGGCTACTCTGATTCTCACTGGCTTTCAAGAAATTTAAAATATACAGTGACTTCCAAACTAAGGAAGTTCTTACAAGGCAACGCAATAAAACTAGACTACATCACTTTGATCCTCCAAATCCATCTCAAACTTGCCACATCCCTTTGCACTGTCAGTTGACAGCATTTCAAGTATATATAAGTAGCTGCACATCTTGAACATAGTACTTCATATACAATTTCATTGTTTTAGTTAAAACTTATCATTGATCGACAAATATAGTAAGCCTGTATGAAGCTAACATAAAAAGCACTCAGTTTGCAGACAAAAGCATCTGACAGGTGAAAACCACTTAACCACTGCATATGAAATTCCTTCAACTTAATATCATATGTAAGATCTCCCAGATGCAAACAATTTTACCACTTAAGTTTTGTAAAGAGAGCGTGAAACAGTATACCTAAACTGCATATAACACATGTAGTGCAGACATACCAATGCTACAGCATAGACAGATGTGAGCAAATCCAGATTACCAGAAGGAATCTTTTCACAGTACCTTGGCCAAACCAGGCAGCTTTGCAATACTTGTCCGCCATTGATACAAAACCGTTTCTACATGTTGCCATTTGTAACTACAGCACCTCCACACCACTCCATGCAGTATAAGCACATCCTAAGGAAACACCGGACCTCAAAACCACTGAAACAGTGACAATAACAATGAGGTGGTTTTGACTGAATATAAAAAACAATTTCTTTAGATGTCGGTCAAGCACTGGAACAGGCTGCCCAGACACATGGTAGAATCCCCAGCCAGTGTATTTGGCACACACGGACATGACACTAAGGGGCACAGTTCAGTGATTGGACTCAGTAGGTCAGGCTAACAGCTGGATTTGATGATCATGAAGATTTTTTTCTAACACAGTTGATTCTACAATGATTTTTTACCCTACTAGCTCTTACACAAAACGAAGAGAGCTCTTCACAAATTGATGACATAACCACACATAACTCCCTGCTACTGTTAGTAATTAACACTACTTAACACCCTACAAATGCACAAGAGCTGTCTAGAAAAACAAGCACAAAAGCAAGAGATTGCTTCAATGCTACAGTTTTAACCAACAGATTACTCAGGATTTGTTAAGGTCAGACACACAGATAGGAGATTTCTACTATCTTAAATATAAAACCTTAATTTGGATGGCAAAATAATTTAGAAGTTTTAAAAGGTGGAATAGTCTCAAAGAACAGCCCTTATTTCTCTAAAGGAGAGTTATCACCACACTGCACAAACTTTTCTGCTGGATAGATAGTAAATCATAGGTGTCAACCAATTACTTAACTCACCTGGCCTGACTGAGGGGATAAAAAATTAATGACCTCCTCCACCATCACTGGTATGTGCAATCTTCCAAAGGTTTTGTTTTCTGTACTGTGAAGCAACTCTTTAGTTTCACTTTCCTGTGTAGTTTGCTCCGTTAAATCATATTCAGAAAGCTGTTTTACTGAAGAGTAGATCCTTCTGGCCAAAACAGCTAACTTGTCTGGATTCAGCTTTAAGTTGCACAGAAGCAGACACTTGTTAACTTGGCACAGACTCTGAGATAGCATTTTGGAGTTGATCATCCTAGAAAAAACAGATGTTGGGAATTACTTTGATAACTATTTAAAACATTAAGTGTTAAAAAAAAAAAAAAAAAAAAAAAAAAAGCCACACACAAAAAGTGCAAATGCTGCAAGTACATTTCACAAGATAGGAGGCTTTACAGAAATGCCATCTCAGCAAAAAGGCTCTGATAATTTAACTTCTTTTCAGCAATTTGAAGGCCATCTAACAATCAATCACATCTAAGTAAATAGAGCTTTATTTTCACAAGCAATACCTTCATTTCCTTTACATTGCTAGGACTTTATCAATGTTCAAACATCTTGAGAGAAGCCCCTATTAAATGACTAACCACACTTGAGCACAACCAGAACAGTAGCTCAGCTTTCATTTTGTTCTCCTACGTCCTGCCACGCACAATGAGGCACTTGCTCTGAATGGCAGCACTTAGGTTGCCAAGTTTCCTGTATTTCTAGTTGAAATGGGAAAAGACAAATCGTGCCACTGGGTTTTTAACACGGTTATGATTAGTGTTACAACCTACATGTGTGGTAAAATTACAACAGAATAATTCAAAGCAGATTAAAAAAAAAAGCTGAAGGAAGCTGAAGGTTAACATAAGTAAGATGTTATTTGCATTTTTATGAGCTCACATCTGTTGTTGTGTCATATTTCACACTCTCTCTTGCCACACAAAAAGAGTGCATACTTTAGCCAAAGGCCCTTTGAATAAAGGCTATCCTACTTTCATTGCATCGCATTTGTAAGCATGTATCAGCCTCTAACCTTGAACAGAGGACTTCAAGTCCTTTGCAAGCCCTTTGGGGAGTTGGACTTGATGATTCCTGGAGGTCCCTTCCAACTCCTACAATTCTGTGATTCCACAACAAACCCCAACACCTCTATAAAAGCTAACACAGAGGTGGGGAGAAGATCAGTGATAATCTAACTCACACTGCCTTGCTCTACGACCCCGGGAAGCATCTTCCTTACCCAGAGCACGGCTCACAATCACTCATCTATGAACTGAGGAAACTTTTTGTGTGCTTTCAGTCGCAGGATACAGCAGAAGGCTACAAAAATGATTAAGGGCCTGCGGCATCGCTCTTACGTGGAAAGAGCTGGGGCTGTTGAGCCTAGAGAAAACCGAAGAAGGATCTTATATCGAGCAGGCCTAGAGGTCCGCGGCTCTCCCCTCACGCAGCTCCCGCCCACCGGCCCCGCACAGCACGCAGAGCTACAGAAACCACCCTCGCCACGCGCTTACCCGCTCGCGCCGTCGCTTTGATGACGTCACGGCGGCGGCGGCCAATGAGGAGGCGAAGGGGGGGCGGCCGCTGGCGTTTGAATTCGGCGGCCGGGCTGGGCGGCGGTTGGCTCGGCTGCGGCGCTGAGGTGAGTGGCCGCTCCAGCGGCATGGCGGGCAGGGCGGGCGGGGCTCGGGGGCTTACCGTGCGGTTTTGTCCGTGATCTGTGTTTGTTGTCGGCCCTGGGATATCTTTCTTCTTTCTGAGGTGAAGAGCGAGGCCTGGAAGGGCGGTCCTTCGTTAGTATCTGAGCGTTGTGGGGCCTATAATCAAAAGGCCCCTGAACCCTCCTGCAGGACGAGAGAGCTGCCTGCTACTATGCGAGTGCTCTGAAGTGAAGGAGAACTGCAGGTGGAACGGTAGCTGTAGTCGGAGGAATCAGACTTTGGCTTTCCCAAGGGAGGCCTGCTTAGCTGTGTACTGTTAAGTCGTGTTTTCAGGCCAGTTAACAGTGCTTCTCAGAGCTTTGTGATGGTTCCTGCAGCTGACTGAGTGTAGGGCAGGGCTAGCACAGGTGTGTAGTTTGACTTAAACTGCAAACTGATGGCTGTGGGGTGACCTCATTGCAGCCTTTCAGTATTTAAAGGAAGCCTACAAACAGGAGGAGACTAAACTCTTTGAAAGGGCTGATAACTTCAGGACAAGGGGAAATGGTTTGAAGTTGAGGGAGGGAAGATTTAGGTTGGGTATCAGGGGGAAATTCATTACTATGAGTGTGGTGAGGTATTGGAACAGCTGCCTAGAGAGGCTATGGATGCCCCATCCATTCCTGGAGGTGTTCAGGACCGTGCTGGATGGGGCCCTGGGCAGCCTGGTCTGCTATGAAGTGTGGTGGCCCTGCATGTGGCAGGGGGTTGGAGATTCATGATCCTTGAGGTTCCTTCCAACCCTGGCCATTCTGTGATGATTCTAATGAGGAAATTATGTTTCAAGTTTAAGGCCTTTTGCTTTTATTGTTGATTGCAGGAAGGATTCAGCTGCTTGGTCTGAAGGAGCCCTGGAAGCAGAGAAGAGAGAGCATGTCTGCTGCTAAAGAAGATGATGTCTGTAGCCACATGAAAGTGGTTGTCCGAGTCCGTCCAGAAACTCAAAAGGAAAAAGATGGCAACTTTGCTAAAGTTGTTCATGTTGTTGACCAGCATATATTGGTGTTTGATCCGAAGGAAGAAGAATTTAGCTTTTTTCATGGAAAGAAACTGACCCACAGGGATATTAATAAAAGAACAAAGAAAGACCTTAAATTTGTTTTTGATGCTGTTTTTGCTGAAAATTCAACCCAGTTGGAAGTTTTTGAGCATACAACCAAAGGTGTACTTGATGGCTTCTTAAATGGATATAATTGCACAGGTATCTTTGCTATATGCCTCTTTTCATTCACTAAATTCTTTGGAGGATCTACACTTGTATCTGAATGCTGCAGAGGCCTTAGGGATCTATGTTTGAATAACTAGTTGTAATTTATAGTTATGACCATCTTGTTGTATGTGGAAGGTAGACTAGCTATGTTATGTTTTGTAGAAGACTTTGTGATAGGGTTGTAACAAGCTTCAGAATTTGATCTGAAATACATGTGCTTGTGAAGAGTATTCAAGGAAGAGTTATTCAGCCAGAGGTAGTTTCATTGAGTGTATTAATCTATTTTGTCAACTTAAGCTTTCAAAAGTTTGTTTTTAACTGTCAAATATAACACTGAGGTAATGCCTTATGTATTTGCAATGAGTTGATAGTCTAGGGTTAGGAGAGTAAAGAAATATCTTTTACTTCAACTGCTTGTGAATTAACTTGGAATTAAAAACTTGAAAATATGTGACTCTTGAGATAGCTTTCTGATTTCTGTTGTAGAAAGCGAATATTAGGTAAGAAAGTTAAATAGTTTGTGAAAACAGTGGTATAATATGATGGGGGATATGAATGTCCATTTGAAGTTTGTTCTTGTTTGGCCTACTGATACCAAGTGTATCTTTTCTGTTTTTTTTTTCCTCTTAATGTAGTGCTAGCATATGGTGCAACAGGAGCTGGAAAGACTCATACAATGTTAGGCTCCCCTGAAGATCCTGGAGTGATGTATTTAACCATGATGGCACTTTATAATTGCATGGATCAAATAAAAGAAGAAAAAATATGCAATGTTGCTGTGTCTTATTTAGAGGTAAGTTAGCTCCTGGATTTAGTATGCTGCTTTTAAGAAGGCATAATTTTATAAATCAAGTTAAACTTTTTATTTCCTCTGTCATCATACTCATACTATTCTGGGACTTTAGAAATGTATCCTTGATGGGACTGTAACTGAATAGTGCTCAAATTTGATGTTACTAATAGATACCTGTTACTGTCTTGTGTCTTCCAAAAAAGGCCAATCTCTTCTAACACATTCATTTCTCATTCTAGTAATACCTGTCCTGCAAATTAGTTAAGCTCCTTGCTCCTTAGTTAAGTTCCTTCTGTCTGTTAATGGGTACAGGAAGATACTTTGTCAGGGATGTTAGCAGTAATTTCCTGTTAACACTGAAATTGCACAACTAAAAGATGGTTAATTCCTTTCCAGTAATATTCAGTTTGGTTTTACTGTATCTCAAGTTAAAGAAATGCTTCTGTGAGGACTGCTATGGTACTGTTTAGCTCACTACAAAAAATTATTTTGGTCTTTGCTGCCGGCTTCTCTTCTCTTTATCTTTTTGGCATTGCTTGTCTGTTCTTGCTAGTACCTATCTTTGCATTGCTGCAAAGCAGCAGTAGTAGAATGACTGTTACATTCTAGCCCCCATTAAGTCAAGTGGAATAGTAATTAGCACTAGGGGAGGAGAGTGAAGAAGAGGAATTAAGCTGTTACACAGACACTGGTTTATTCTTATCACAGAATGTCACTTTGTCTTAAAATAGTAATGAAGAATGAGGTTGCCATTCAAATCCAATCCTGTCAAGTATGACAGGGTAACTTTTCTAAAGAGATTTTAAATTCCTTCTCAAAGGTGTACAATGAACAGATCCGTGATCTTCTGGTCAACTCAGAACCGCTGGCTGTTCGGGAAGATGCTCAGAAAGGGGTGGTGGTTCAAGGGCTAACATTACATCAGGTATGTAAATAGGTGCTCAAACTCAGGAGGCTCCACATTATTTGAGGTCAAATTTGCTTGTGATTGCACAGTGAAGTTGCTTGTGACTTAGTAATTCTTGTGGGTTTTGTTTTGTTTGTTTCGTTTTTTGCAATCATCAGGAGTAACGTAATAACCTGCAAGCCTACTAAATAATTAATGCATGTTCTGAAAAAGCTACTGGTGTTGTTAAATAGAAATTGATAAACATTTGTCTTTGTTACCCAGCAGACACTGCTGGTTTGATGCTTACCTTCAGGTTGTGGAAAGCTTGTTGTTTTGAGAAATAATCTTAGTATTTCTTAAAGGACTTCACTGTTTTCAATGTTATGCATGAGTGTTCAACACTTCTGCAAATCTTGTGCCTAGAACTTGAGTTTTTCTGTTTGTTTGATTTTTTTTATTTTTTTTTCTTTTTAATGAAGACACTAAAAAAAAGTGCTGTTTCCAGACAAGCACAGCAACTTCAAAGTTGTTAATGCAACCTCATTTCCCAATCTGATAATTAATGTCATGGACCTAACTTTTTTCTTCCTGCAAAATTTTGGAGCCTGTTAAATGCTATGTAGTTTCCAACTTCGACGTGCAACAAACAATGAAGGCAGGAATTGGGTTAGTTTGGCTCATCCTTTAAAGGCCTGCTCTTCCTATGCTTGAGTTTTGCCTGAAAACAGTACTATATTCATGTTTGAAGCATTAATGCAACAAAGATTAAGGCGTTCTTAGGATTTCTAACTATGGATAGTACTTGCAGATTTAAGGGTTTTTGTTAGGTTTTGTTTTGGTTTTGGCTTTCAGAAGTCTTTTCAGTTTCTGAAGCTCTTAAGTACTTTTCATGCTTTAACGTTTTCAGCTGAAAGTGTTTGAAGGGCCTCAATTCCAAAACAGCAATTACTATTAACTCTATTTTCAGGTACCTTGGTTTTCCTTTAAGGTGATTGATGATTTTTTTTTTTTTACCATTTTAATATCTATCTAGATAGATAGATAGATAGATAGATAGATTATTTTTTCTATCTATCTATATATATAGATAGATAGATTATATAGATTATATAGATATATAGATAAGAATCACTGTAAAATCTTTCAAGTCTTATACAGCTAATGAGAAAGAGGGGTGAAAAAAAAGTACTTACCCTGTGCTCTATTTTTAAAGCCAAAATCAGCAGAGGAAATCCTTCAAATGTTGGATTATGGGAATAAAAACAGAACACAACATCCCACAGATGTGAATGCCTCCTCTTCTCGTTCCCATGCAGTCTTCCAGGTAAGATGATACAGCAGATGTACACCAGTATTTCTATAAGTTTTACTTGTTGCCTAAATTTGAATACAATGGAAGCTTTTAAATGTACATCTATATGTCTCAGACCTTAATTTTAGTGCTCAGAGCTAAAAGTCTTCCAGTTCACTGTTCATACTGAATAGAGTTGGAAGCAAACACGAGGAAAAGCTTTCTAATCCCAACTTCAGTCTTTAGAAATATCTTTTCTATAAAACCGTGGTTTTGAATTAAGGATATGCTTCGATATTGTAGATTTACACTTTGGAAGGCCTTTGAGTGCTTTCTGCTTTTATGCTTCTCTAATGTTGCTCAGCATTCTTGTATGAAAAATATTTTACAGAATGTCATTATTCTTTCTATGAAGTGAACGTTTCGAATGCTACTTTTCTGTTATTTGGTTTTGCATTGATTCAGGTTTTCTTTGTATTTGAGTGTGTGGCCAGTTTTAACACAAACTAGGATTTAAGCAGATACATGCTTGAACCATGAAAATGAAATGCATGTTTCTAGTTTCTGTAGGTAAGGT